ATATATATATATATATATATACATATATATATACGTACATGTGTATTCTTGCAGCAGATTTTGTTTAAAGGAAATTCTGCGACACTTCGTTCCACTGATATCAAAAGCATTGACAACTTCGAGAATTTTCACGTTTAGATCGCTGTTAATTTGCACGCTAAGTTTTCATTTCCATGTTATTGCAGGGAAAAGTGATTCTTTGCTGATGTGGAGAAATTACCCTCTTGGAAAGAACATAGTAATCGCACTTGCCAAATTTGTCTACAGAACACTTTTTTCTAAAAACTACGCCGCAGGGGTTTTTGTTCGTTGCGTTCGTTTTCAGTTAAGCAACCATATGAACACTATGAATTCTATGATGCTAAGATATTTGCAAAACCCTAGACTATAGCTTCCTACAGTGGGGAACGAACACGCTATTACCCTTTCGGGGGCTAACGCGTTCACCACCGCACCTTGCGGGTCCTTCGTTTCGCCCGTCTCTCAGCTAGTTCTTTCAAATTCGAAAGACCCGCATGGTCTGGTGGTGAACGCGTCAGCCACCGGAAAGGGTAATAGCGCGTTCGTTCCCCACCGCATACACTTGCGGTCTGGAGTTTTGCTAATATCTCAGCATTATAGAAGCTAGCTAAGATTTCACAACATACCCTGCCATTAAAAAGAGTAGGCAGTGAATAAAAAGGTTAAGACATAAGAACAGTTTTTTGCCTTTGTAGTAGTATTTCTACAAGTTATAGGTAATTCAAGATTGTAAACATCTGGATATCGTTGTCGTCGTATGTTGCCTCTACTGGCACAGGTTTTGTTGACACGTGTCAAAGTTTTAGCAGCAGATCTCAATATGGGTTTAATATCGGGCGGTTTCCTCTACCTAGTTTTATCCCTCGACATTTGTGTTCACTTGTGTACTACTTGTTGTTGTGAGGACCGCCAATAATCGTCGCGTGTTTCGTTGCGTTCAAATGCTTGACCTAGCTGGCGATCGAAACTGGTTCTCTTCATTTTTGACGGGTTCAAATCACATCTTTACATTCCAGCAGGAGCTTTAGCTGGTCATTTTCGAATGGCCGGACCCAGATTAAGGTCGATCCAACGGAAATCCTCTATAAAATCGCCGACGGAATGCATCACCATCGTTCGCATTCGTAATGATCGTACTGCTCTCAGCTATCCTTCTCGCTGTGGTTCGTTTTCAATTTTTATTAACTACGTATGCGCTTAGCTTTATTACATTTGTGCGCAAAATTTCACTGTACTTCCCTTCACTGACGACACGAAGTTGTAACCAAGCATTTATTCGGTTAAATTTAAAAAATGGTAAAACTTGAACAGGCCTTTGCAAAACTTTAAAACAGTGAGTTTAACGATCATAATAGTGAAACAACCTTTACATGACGCCTATAGGTCAATAACACGGCTGAGAGATGGGCGAAGCGAAGGTCTCACATGGTGTAATGGTGAACGCCTTAGACCCCGAAAGGGGTAATAGCGTGTTCGGTCCCCACCACAGACGCCAGTGGTCTGGAGTTTTGCAAATATCTCAGCAACATCATGGCTATACTTCTTACCCATTTTGTATAATATCACATGATAAGGCCTGCATGAATACTACGGGAACCTGACATTGTGAGTTAAACGAACTCCAGTCCACCTTTCATTCCTTAACCTAACTCCAGATTTGAACCATTTCGATGAGTTACTTCGATCGTAATTGTCTCAGCTAATAGCAGCTGTCACGAATACATTTACAGTTGTGAACACCTGGTTATTATGAGCCATAAACATGTCCACTCATCTTTCCGGTAGTCCTCTGGAGTAAACTTACGTCCTCTTAGACTGCTCCTTCCCCTGTGTCCGTTGTCAGCTCTTTTCGTCACATGACGACATCATCCATATTTTGCACTTAACGCACAGTGTCTTGAAATGAACAAGACACTATACAATTACTCCCGATGTTTTCTATGAGGATGAAATGTCAAACAATCTCCAGTGAATAATATAGAGCTCTTGAAGACGTATGAGTATAGTTATTGGCTTCCAGTTCAAAGAAAGTCGGCTGTAATTTTGTCTAACCTTGGAACTGTGACTGTTTACAGGCGCAGTTGATATTAGAAATTAAATTCATTAGTAGTTCTTCTTTACTGAACATTCTGAGGTCTAAGACGAAGTTAGTGGGACAGAAAATATTGCAATAAACTCCCACATAATGGATCCCCTATCGCTGAAAGAGATAACGAGCGCAAGTTTAGGAGATTTAGAACCTAAGCAAAAGTTCAAGTGCGTAAAAATACTTATTTATTTACTTCCTTATTTGTTTACACAATTCTTCGTTGACTATCGCTTTATCGTAGCTTGTTAACGCTTTGGTTCTCCATTTGCTATGCACAGCAAAGATTTGCTAACTGGAAAGCAAAACCAATCTGGAAAAAGTTCAAGGCTACCGTATAGCAAGGCGGGTTCAGTGAAACGGTTTCAGGTTTTGCAGGCGCCCTAGTTAGAACCAGTCGCTCCGTTTCCTACAGATTAAGGGTCAGCTGTAATAACAGTCTTCAAGGCAAAGGGAGTTGGTCAAACAGCAAGATACCAGTTGGATTGGAAGTATGCTCAGCCCTGTTATAAACAAAAATAATTTAATCGTTTAATAAAAAAATCATTTTTTATCAAAAACCAATTAACAAAAAATTATTTTTCTGAGAGACAGGCGAAACGAAGGACCCGCATGGTGTGGTGGTGAACGCGTTACTCCCCGGACAGGACAATAGCACGTTCGTTTTCCACCATAGACACCTGCGGTCTGGAGTTTTTCAAATATCTCTGCATCATTGAAAAATCATTTAACTGGGCCTAATATCTGTTTATTACCGTAATTATTTACGATATATATATGTATATATATTACAAAAGCACTAATAATCCTTTGCTCATTTGAACGAACACGTCGTCTTATAACGAACAGTTCCCCTAGTAATAGTGCACTGTTCATTATTACAACTGGCACATGTTGTTGTTCTCACATCAGATTACCAAGGACACGGAAAAAATCACATCTTTGGTAGTGGTCAAGGATTGCTGATAATTTTTCTCAATAAGTAGCATACTGTAAACGGCGTTACTTGAAATAACAACGATTTTATCAGCGATGCGATGAGACGAAATCAACCGAGGCACCCGATGTTAGCGAACAAATAGATCCGAGTATCTACATTCGACAAGGCTTATTTGGAACTGGGCAGGTACTGTCTCAGTTCCAATTCAGCTAAAATATAAATCGAAGAACGTGCGCATTATTTTTTTTCAGGAGCTTTACAACAGTCAAGTGGGAGCGATGTCCTCAGGTGAGAGAAGGACTTTAGTAAAACCACATTTGAAATAAGAAATGGTTTTGATAAAGTCAGAGAATCGGTAGCGTAACCGCATTAGGTGGTGGGGAGTGTTCACGATGAATAACCACGTTTCGTTGGCGTACCATCCACTAACTTTGTTATTGGAAAATGTAACAAGGAAAATATAAAACATGTCAGAAGTGATCTAAGCAAGATACAAATTGATTTGTTTGCTATTTAAAACATTTTCCATTGTGCAGACTCTCCATAACTGCTGTTGATTTCTTGATAAATAGAGCCCTTTAGCACTAGACGATTTGAGAGCTATTTGGAAGAGACTTCTTGCAAGCACTCTGAAGAAAGATATGGGTTCTTTCAAATATCACTTTTGTAGCTGATAGCATATTTGTTTTGTAGCATTTTGTAGCATAACAAAATATTCCATTTCATAAAGAAATTGATACTTCCAACTATACATAAAGAAGTCAAATGAAAAAGAAGAAGTCAGAAGAAGTCAGTCAGAAGTCAGACAGATAAAACAAAGGAACCGTGTAGTGTGGTGGTGAGCACGTTAACCTCCGGAAAGGGTAATAGCGCGTTCGTTCCCCACCGCAGACACCTGCGGTACGGAGTTTTGAAAATATCGCAACATCATTGTGGTAATATTTCACATCATACGGCGTCATAAAAAGAAGTATAGGCAGTAAATAAAAAGTGACTTCTTTATGTATAGTTTGAAGCACCAATTTCTTTATGAAATGGAATATTTTGTTATGAGGATATCTACGAACACAAATTAGCATGTGATAACTTCATGAGGGCAATGCATGGATTTTCGTAGATTTCTGAAATTACTGTCCACCATAATCTACCACATTTACGCGGCTAAACGATGCAGATTTTAAAGTCTTATTGAGGTGACTGAAGATTTTGATTTTGAGTGAAGGAAATGATCCAAAAGCAGAAACGCTATTTTCCACAAGCTTTTCGAAGTTGCGTCGTGAAAACACAGGTACTTAGATGATCCGCCTAGACCTACCATGTTGGCTTGAGCAGAATTTCTATCCGTTTTATTAACCTCAGTTACAATCCTGTATTGTATATGCTTGAATCTTCATGAAAAACTATCCGACAGCAAACTACCAATGGTAAAATGCTGGTAAAATTGCATTTTTAAAATTATGCGAGTAATCGCTGCAATCAACACGGGAATATCTAAGAGGGCCCATGAAGATGCTGACACACCTAAGTTGTTAACCTCCTCTGAACTAGAAAACTGTATGCGACTGAAGTGCTAAACGAAGAGTGAAAACGAGTCTGCAAAAGATGAGAAGAGATGTGGATGTGGTTTAGCGCAGTTGGAATATGCTGCTTCGCATTCTACTTTGGAAACCTAAGCCTCTCAATATTCCTTGTCAGTGACCTCGCTTCACATAACTTCTTTGTAAACGAACGTTTTGTTAAGGTTGCGTTGAACGTAGGGGTGCGTGTGGCGCAGTAGTTGGAGGCCCCACTGCGCCACACACGTGGAATCGATCGCCACACCCATGGCCAATCAAGTCTTCCATCCCCGTGAACAGCAAATTGGTACCAGACTTGTCAGGGAGGATAGCAGCATTGGCTCGATGCATCGGTAGGCCACGGCGAATCACTGTAAAGGACAGATATTCACTCAACCACCTCTAACGATACTTAATGAAGTTGAATGCATGGCGCTTCCCTCAGGAATTGATCAACGCCGAGAGTTTTATCCTTTTTACCCTTCATGATGTTGAATGACTGATCAATAAAATGGTGCTGAGGTATTTGCAAAACGCGGACCTCCGTTCAGATTCGAATCCGCGACTACACTGTCCCGGAGATCAGTGCACCACGGTGTCTCTTCCCTGACCTTTCTGTCGGCCAATTTCTTATCATAATAATGCCGTTAACAGTCAATTGTCATCGGGAATGATCGAGACAACAGAAGTAGGCTTTTAACCCTACTTGAGCTGAAGCTGTAGCTACAATAGTTCTCAGATTCTGTAGATCACATCGTACCTTACCACGAAGAAGGATAGGCAGTAAATAAAGGTTAAAACATTGTGATTTCCGCGACGGCTAGTTTAACTGGGTTCAGTCGCGATTCATGCCTCCCAGATCATTAACGTTTATGGATGATTGCTGATAGCGTCGTTAGGGCAAAAAACTGCTGAGCGAAAGGCAAAGCAAATGCCCGCTTGATGTGGTGCAAAGCGCATGAGTATACGGAAAGGTTAGTCACAAGTTGGGGCCCACCTGGGGTTCCTGTCAGATAAGTTCTTTCAATTTTGTTCGAATTCGCACCCTTAGTTTAGAGTCACACTAAAAATCGATTGATTGCCCGCTACAGAATCGTCTCACTGTTACAGTAAACTTCGCTTTCACGTGTAAATGCACTACGAAGCAGCCAAACCCGAACGCTCCACCGCCAGCGGATTCTAATCAAATGGCTCAACAGCAGATCCAACAACTGCAGGTTCGTCTCTTTGAATGCTGAAATAGAAAGAGGAACACCACTCATTTGTCAGTTAGACTATTTTTAATCTGGGTGATATACTCCATAGCTAAGCTTTATTCCGTTCTGAACCAAGTAAACTCAATTCAGGAACAGGTTCGTCGGCAACAAGAAGTAATCAATCGAGCGAATCAGCAAAAAAATGGGGTAGAACAATTCAGTGAGTTTAATACAACTACGAGAGCTCAGATAGAAAATACCCGTTTTCCAACTAGGCAACTAAACCTTATAGAAATGTGAGATTTGGTAAAGATCGTGTCATTGTGCTAGTTGGCTTTTGGTCACTTCGAGACAATTCCATTCACTCGTGCCTATAATGAGAAATCTGAAGAAAGAGGGAAAAGAAAAATAAAAACGAGCACTCAGTGTAAGTTTAGCAGACCCAGCTGAGTCCTTTCATCATTCCACAAGCTTTCAGCTCATGAGAGTGAATTCACGTGGAAGATATAAACTCTAACCTCCTCTCTCTCTTTCCCACCCTTTCTCTCTTTCTCTTTCTCGCCCTCTCTCTTTCTCTCTCTCTCTCTGAGGTGGACGCCATTGCTTTGATAACGTGAAATACTTCTCACCTGGTCCCCATTATTGACACTTGACACTTGAACGGCCCGTCCTCACTGGTAGTGCGGGCCCCAGCATAATCACTATTCATCGGAGTTTTGCTGGTTAAGCCACTGTGGTTCTCTGGGAACCCGGGGCCAGCGTGACAAAGTCTGCCCCAAGTCTTCACCACCACGGGCAGTCGCAGCCCTTGCGGATCAGAGGGAGATTTGCCACCATGCGACTTTGACACCAGGACAGTGGTGGATCCTGGTATTGGTTTCCTCTTAGCTGGGCTTCCTGATGAAAACGCCGGACTCCTTCTCAGCTTAGGAGACTCTGCCAGGAAAAAATCCCCCCGCTGTACATCGCAGTCCGATACCCAGGAACACCTCCTAGCCACGATGAGGCGGTAAACCGTTGAGAGGTCTCCATTATTACTCCTTAGTAAATCCTGATTGGTGGAGAGTCACATATTTTCATAATTTTGCATAATTATCGGCTACACAATTTCTAAAACCGTGCAAGGAGAACAACGAAGAGTTACAGAGCTATTAGAAAATTCTCACAAAGTCCTGAGAGATAAGAGTTTCGACAACTCATTGAAGTTTTCGCGCTACGAAGCCTATGGGATTTAGAAACGGAATAAATAGATTTTTCCTTGACTTACACTTATCGTTACCAGTGCAGGTATATTTGTTACTTCCATTGTAAAAATGGGTTCTTCGGTTTTCCTTACGAAGGAAATTCAGTGACGATAAGCTGGACAACAGCATACCCAGAGATTATATACATCTATGTGTAAATTGTTGAGCTCACACCAGGTTGGCAAGTTAGTTTTATTCTGCTGACATTTCGACATCCGACGATCCGAATCGATAGTCCACAGTTATTCGCATTAGCAAGGTCGTGTCTTCGCAGTGGCACGAATAAATTAAAGATAAATTTAATTGAATTAATTTGGATTAAAATCAAATTTAATAAATTTGATTAATTCAAATTGATCTAATCAATTCAACTTTAATTTTAAAATTTGATTTTTCATTTCTCTCAACGGTTTACCGCCACATTATCACTGGGTGTTCCTGGGTACCAGGCTGCGCTGTGCAGCGGGGATTCATTCTCCCACCAGAATTTACCAAGCTGGCAAGGAGTCCGGCGTTTCAATCAGGAAGCCCTGCTAAGATTAACCTAAAACAAGTGTCCACCACCGTCTTGGTGTCAAACTAGTCGCATGGTGGCAAATCTCTCTTTGATCCACAAGGGTTTCGACCGCCTGTGGTGTTGACCTGAGGAAGACTTTGGCCAGGCTGTCCTCAGGATAGCAGCGAACCACAGTGGCTAGACCAGCAGGTCTCCGGAATATAGAAATTATGCTGAGGACTGCACAGCCAGTGAGGACGGACCATTCAAGTATCGAAGTAATCTTTTCCTTTTTCTTACTTTTTTAGTTTTTTAAATTTTAATTTTTTCTCAAGTTTTTAATGTAATTGACTTTAATTTTAATTTCTAAATTTAGTTTTTCGTAAGATGGAAGATTCTTTGAAATAAGGCTCAATTTTGCTTTCGGCTAGCGCTTCTGTAGATGATACCAAATCCAAGGGTCAGACCGTGTATATGAATAAATACTCGCAGCTACAGTAAGAGTTCTGTGCTCAAGAATTCCTTCATTTGCTTGCACTTGAAATTCTAAAGGATGCCTAGTAGTAAAGTTACTGAAGAACGATAGGCCATTTTTCTAAATAAAGAGTTGTTCTTCTTTTCAGCACAACTTATGCAAGTTGCCAGTTCAATGGAGTGCAGCTGCCAGAATGACGAATATGGTTGGAGGGATCGATCACTTCAACCATTTGGAACCGGTAATATTGGTCGGGTGAGTATGATTTTTCTAAACCTGAATCTCCTCAGTTTCATAAAAGCCTCACTTACGAAAACCTCACTATGTTCATTTTCCTCAGAGAACTTCGCGAAGATTTTAGCTAGAAATTGAGCCTTTTCTGAAGCAAAATTTCTATCGCGCTCTTTTAACAGCCGTGAACTTTCACAGTTTCAGGGTTATGGGATTGCAGGATACCCAACACTATCTGGAAATCTTCGTGGCGGCTTCAGAGGATTTCATCCAGGACAATTAATTGATCCATCAGGTACCATTACAAGTTAAATTCGTTCCACATACACGTATGTTAGCTACTACTTTACTTTCCTCGTCACCATGGCGTGATATTTATGAGACCGTCTAGTTTTACTGGGTTACGTAGAAACTCGAAGCACTCTTGGATATTTCTAGTGAATCAGGTAATTAGACAAAGTGTAATTCCACAAGGTTTTCTTCACGAAATTTTAAAAGTTTGGGAGAAATCTAATAACTATCAGAAGCTGGTTTCCCACTTCGTCACTCAACCTTCACAGAAAAGTGTTGAGGGTTGCTAACGTCTGTGATTACTTGTAGTAGAAACAATCACTAAATTTCAGAACTACAACTGGAATATGGTCGTCTACAAGGAGTTCCGCTTACAATGCCCTATCAAACGAGACTTCAGCCGATCGCCTAATTGATTTTATCAAGAACAATGCTTGTACTCGGGCAAAATTTGTATGAAAAACAGTTCAACGACAGTATGTTAGTGATGGATGAATAATAATTGCAAGAGATAGAAGTGTAAAGACATTTTATAATGAAGTGAGAAGTTTACAAGAGGTAAATCTCATGTAGAGGATACTGTTGTAAGGCAACAGTGACAATTGCGACTGTTAGAGAATTGGATACTTGGATGGCCCGTCTTCACTGGTAGTGTGGGCCCCAGCATAATTTTCATTCGCTTCTCTCTAACGCAATCGTAGTCTATGGTGGTGGCCTGTTTCGAACATCTGAAATCGTTTCCTGCTGCGAACACAGATGGTTGGCGTTAACCACGAGCACGTCTTCCTATCGTTTTGATGATCTTCGAGAAGGAGGCTTGTATTCTATTTGAGACCACTTCACTGTTCTCTTCGTCCATTTGTCACCTGTCCTTCTGATTATGCAACCGGTCCACGTATCTTTTGCTACTGATGTACATTTTCTTGAATCCGGAAGATGGGATAGGTTTCGAATAACTGAGCTGCGCATTTTGGCTAGACGATATGAGTCCTGATTAAACTTCAAAACACATTTTTTCTTCAACTGCTCTGTGTGTGGTGCTCAGTCTTCTTGATGCGACTGAAGCATCAGTCGATGTTTCTGCTTCATAATGGAGCGCTGGGAGGACTGCTCAGTCGAAAAGGTAAGCGCGGAGTTTTGGTTCCATTAGACGGCAGGTAGCTTCTTTGAGTACCCCAAATCCGGCCCCTGCTTTTCCTTTCTTCTGTCTAGTTTCTCCTTCATGTTATACTCCACGTTCATTGAATGCTCAAGGTAGGATGTGCTTTCTGTAATCAAACAACCATCCAGTTCGTTTTATTCACCTGATTATCGTAAGTTCTTCATAGACTGATCGTTGTCCTATTTATGCATAGTCCAATCTTTTTTCCCGTATTGTTGAGCTCATTGAGCGCCATTTTTGCTTCCGTGCTACTCCTCGAGAACATAACGATGTCGTCGTTGGAGAAATGAATATTTGATGAAAATTTTCGGCCAATACTTATGTCCTTTTCGTCCCAATTAAGTAACCTTCATTATCTATGCGGCAGTAGACATTTTTGGCGATATGGCGTCGCCTTGTGGAACGCATTTTTCTATGGGTATGGCAAGAAGTCATTAGAAAACCTGTATTTTTGTGGTATAGTTCCAATAGCAGTGAGACGGAGTTCGTATGTAGGACAAGTCCGTTGTTTGGTCGACGAACGCTGAAAGGATGGCATTCGTTTCAACACTGTCGAACACTTTTTCACAGTCGATAAAGGTTAAGACAAGAAAGAGATGGCACTCTCGACAAGAATCAGCGACCCTGGACACAGTTTGGATGTGGCCCATGCAGCAGAATCGTCGTCGAAATCCTCTTTGCCCCACTAGTTGCGCCGCATCTGATGTCCTTGATATACGCGAGAGGATAATCGTCGCGAACAGCTTGTAGAGCACAGTGAACAAGCATATTGGACGGTAATTACGAAGATCCCTTCGGTTGCACTTCTTGGGTATGATGACTGTGCCCGAAGTCATCGGCTGGTCTGGGATTTTCTCCTTCTAAAAGCGGGAATCATAAGAGTTGCGAGAAGTATGTGCAATTTGTGGGCTCCAGCTCCAAGGAATTCGGCCGTGATATTATCGGGTCCTGAAGCTGTTCCTCTCTTCATGCTTTCTAGCACAACTCGAATTTCGGAGAGTAGAATCCCGCGCCGTTTTTCATCAATAGGGATTTTGCGGATCAACACAGAAATTGCAGAACGAAAGAGATTAAAGCAGAACCTTTAATCTTATCAGTTCAATACCATGGAGGAAACTAGAGATACTTTCATGTTTGGTCCTCAAGGGAATAGTGGAATCCGCAAAAATCCCGATGGCACTTTTCCAGACTAGACCGTCTCCGGCCCGCTTCTACAAATTTTTCTGCCCGTACCCATGCAAATGCTCCAATGAAGATCTTTTACAGCTGACAGTTATTAACAGCTGTGTTGGGTGTGTTGCAATAGGATCACGTCCAGTCTCTTTCGTTTCTCGAATAACCGTTGGTTATGAGGGTATTGTCCGAACTTCTTATCTAAGAAACTGAGGCAAGTTTGGCACAAATTTTAAGTCCTTCGATAGGCAGTCCGTAGTTTAGATCGCATCCTCGTTTATCTGCATGTCATATAAGGAAAGGATTTTACTGAGAATACCCTCGTCATACATTACCTGCTCCTTTCTTTGGACTATGACAGGAATTCTTTTCAAGCGCATGACTGAATCGAATCTTCGCACGGAGATGGCAGTGACCAGATGCAGTACAGAACGCACTGAGGTGTCAGAGAGACATCATTTCCTGTTCATGAGAATACGATTGATGTCCGCATGAGTCCTGCTATTAGGAGACTTCTATGTCCAACGATTTTCTCTCTTCTCGAAAAACGAAATTTTCCTGGAAGAGATTTGCTGCGGAGCGGAAGCCTGCAAGATGGTTTCCATCTACATTTCGCTCTCCTATTCTGGATTTTCCCTTCCTGCATTCATCTTCCTTGGCTGTTTTTGATATGACACTTAATTCTCCAACAACAAATTTATAGAAGGATTTATGGTTTGGTTGCGGATTGCTTCCACCAATTGGTTGTAAAGCTCACTGTTAATAGCTGAATACGTTGGTGAGTAACAAATGACAATCCTTTGACGCACAAGTTGGAGATCAAGAACAGAATTTCGTATGAGCCGACCAGATGGGTGTACGACAATGCCAATGACAAGGACATTTCGTGTTGTAAAGAATTTCGCTCCGAAAATGACAAAGGTTCCGTCATCTAACTGGCTATATCGGTCTTCCAGTTTTAGTCCCTTATAGGTCGATCACGTGGAACTTAACTCGATCGACGTCATAAAGAAGAACGTAAAAGTAAACGTCCGAAGAGAGTGCTGAGTTTTAAATACACATCAAGAAGCCTTCTCCGTGGAAGACATGGCCTTAGCGTGCACGTTTTATCCGTTCCGTTCAGCCTAGTCGAGGTCTTTATTTTGTCACCACCCTAAACAGCCGTCCCCGTTGTGGATCAGAGGGGACTTTGCCATCATGCTATTGATTTACTCTTAGCTGTTCTTTCGCATAGAAACGTCGGACTCTTCACAACTTAGGAGACCGTACCGGGGAGATGCACCCGCGCTGTCCATCGCACCCCGACACCCAAAAACATCTCCTAGTCACGTTGAGGCGGTAAACCGTGTGGGTATGAATGCTACATGTTGGTGCAGATTAAAAAGAAATAAGCAAGCTGCTTTAAGGTTTGGAAGTAAACTAGCGGAAAGCACTTAGTTAATCGCTGAGCTCACCTCGACAACGGCTTTACAAGACTGTCTCAGTGGTCCAGGAATGTTTTCCCAATCGGACGTTAATCAAATGAAAAAATAGTGTGCTAGGGATTCCAGACCTGAAAGAGAGGTGATCCTACCATTCAGAACCTTGAGAGTCCTATTCTCATTAACCAAATTTGATAAAAATTTATATTTAGCCCACAAATGCTCGACTCAAATAGCACTATGCATCCAGTGGGATTACGTAAATTTCGATAGATCTTGCGATTCTCATTTCAAACAGAGTATTAATCCTCGAATGCCTAATTTAAAGACTGGATAGGAATCACACTAGTTATTGTATACACGCTAGTTTTTGAGAAGATCTATATATAGAGAACTTCCCTCTTGAAAAGTTCTCTATCTATCTAAACAATAGTATTTGTTGTCTATACCATGGCGATCTCGCAGTCTCACAGCAGATAACGTAAAGTAACTTTCATAATCTACTCGGACAATTACGTTCAGTGTTTCAGGCACAATAGCGGTTCAGGTTTGACTTCAGTAACACACCAACGATAGCTTATCTGAAGGACGAGGCGTAGCAGTAGGACAGTTTACTACTTCCTTGTGAAACAACGAAGCCAATGACTTAAGTACAGTCTATTGCAGTCAGGATCAACAATCTAGATTGGCCGCGGTTGCATACGCACGCGGCTCCCTCAGCCAATATAAGCCAGATGCCTTCGACGGCGTATACATGCATCGCTCACCTCACTCCTGATCGGTAGAGCGGATAATCCGCTCTTCACAGCATCATTCCCAGTCATCCTCAATCACCTCAACTCATCCTCAGTCATTCTCACTCGTTCTCATCCATTCTCAGTAATCCGCAGATTATCGTATCTCGTTTCTTAGCTTGTCTACGTTGTCCTGTCAGTAGGCGCGGTGTTTCCAAATGCGTTCTGTTTGCAACGCCACCTATGGCATCTTCCATTCCTTCCACAATGTACGCTATGCGTACAAGGCCGCTGAGCGGCCAAGTTATGCTATGTATTCTGTTAAGCCGCTGTAGGCTTATCAGTTTCAGCCATTATCATACTGCCCCCTGATTCTTAGGCAATGGTGGCACCCATCGATTCTCAAACTTTACGTTACAGACATAGCGTTATCCACCACCAGCCACCTGACTGTGTTGCGTAGATGACTCATCATCGTCCATAGCACCGTCAATGCTCATGTAACTAACTGTCCTTATCGATCATGCTAAAATGCACCTCACCGCTATAATGTGGATCCTTAGCTCAGCCGAAAACACGGCTCGTCTGCATCCCTCTCTGCCCCAGCATGCTGTCTCCCTCGCCGCCTTCAGCATACAGTCTTCCTCAGCCGCCGCACCGGCCGCGGATAGTGCGAGCGCGGCATCGCTCACGGCTAACCAGCAGTTATTTGTATGTAATCATTCATTATTACTGTTATTATTGTATTAATGATGTAGCAATATTCAAATGCCACTATCTCATTGCTAGTCTCACCCATTACTAGTCATAGAACCACATAGCTTTAACTCGCGTGATTCTTTTACTACTACTTCTCTATCGTTACTGTTACGTTATTAGTGCTGTATTTATGCATGTAAACGGTTTAATTACTGAAATTTGA